ATGTTCTCTTCTCTGATTAAACAAAAGTTGAGCGTAAATTCAAAGGATAAGCGATCTAAAATCCGAAGAAGAAGCTTTGAAAGCTCTTTGAATTTAGCAGTAAGTACTTTCAAGCATCCGTTCAGTATAATGTTCTGGGGATGCTTTTCTTTTCACGGAACTGGTTTCTTAAAACCTATTGAAAAGACCCTCAGGAGCGAGCAGTACAAGAGAATTTTAGAGTCTTGTCTGCTCCCTTCTGCTGAAAGGGTGCAAATTGACCCCACCAAGCTCATTTTTATGCAGGATAATGTTCCCTGTCACAAATCAAAATTGATGAAGGAATACTTTGATGAGAAGCAGGTGACTGTTATGATATCCCGCCCCAATCTCCTGACCTCAACCCCATAGAAAACTTATGGAGCATTATAAAGTACAAGCTCTCGGGAAAGCAGTCGAGCAACATATATATATAAGAAGCATGTAAATACTGCACAATTATGATGGTGAGTGTAATCACAACTGCTGAAAATGTCAGTAACAAGTTTTATCACCACGAAAACGTTCACAGAAATAAAGTATTTAATGAAGAACAGAGCAATATATAATCCGAATTAACGTATGTATCAGTTGCTTAGTATTTTGTGTGTGTGTGTGTGTGTGTGTGTGTGTGTGTGTGTGTGTGTGTGTGTGTGTGTGTGTGTGTGTGTGTGTGTGTGTGTGTGTGTGTGTGTGTGTGTGTGTGTGTGTGAATAAGTATATTAAAGAAAACAGACGATAATTTCTATGTAACAGGATTTTATGTCATGTCAACTGCCCACTCACACAAAAAATACAAAACAAAATGATAGATTTTGGAGACTGGCAAATCAGGCCGAGATACAGCTTATTTTTACAATCATTAAAACAGCATTACTTTACGAACTGATTAATTAATTTAATTAACTATTTGCCCTCTAGAAATAACAAAAAAATAATTCCAATGAAACAGACGATTTGCAAATGCGACTAAAGCAATCATTTGGACAGTTTATAGAGTGTATTCTTTAATCGCCTAAAGAAATCAATCAAATTTCTGCAGGTTTGTTAATTTCTTTAACTGACGAGGATAATTCCATTAATGAGGAATGTGTTAAAGGTAAAATGCTATCTTCCAGATGGTAAATTTTTCCACTATTTTATTCCGATTCAAACAAAATAATGTATCTTTAATCTTTCAGTTTTATTGTTATAAGTCTCGAAACGTTTGCGATTAGTGAAACCAAGATATACAATCGTTGCTAGATTTTCTGACTCTAATAAATTGTTGGGCATCAGGATAAGAAAAAAGCAAAATACCTTTTTCATTTTTTTCCCGAAAACTTAGACGTCTTATTTTTCATAAATTATAATTTTCTTATCGATTTCATAAAAGGCTTTGTGGCAAACATTGACCTTTCTTTCTGCACGATTTTCTATGCTGTACATTTAATGTAGCCAATTTCTCATTTTGACGTCTTACCTAAAAGTGGTACAAGACCAAGGCACCCAGTCGGGTTCGAAATTATTAAACTCGTTTGTTAATTAATTCATTAGGTTAAGGCGCCCATTTACTCAGCTACTTTTTAGATAAAACATATTGATATCCAACACAGGTTTAGCCCTGTGTTGGATATCATGATGTTTTTTTCTTTTACAAATATTAACCCACCTTTAAGGTAAAAGGTTACTGCCTTCACTTTTGATACACCCCCTCTCTTTTGGTACTTCTTCTACTTTCGATGTCCCCCTCTTCTCCTTTGGTAAGCATGATTACTTTGCGTAATGGTCGATCCTGCTCTGTTAAACTATGTAAAAATAACTAATTAAAAAGCTTACTGAAAGTTAGGTCAGCGGTTTCTTTTTTTCCGAGTAAACAAACTGTAGCTTAGACATTACGAATAATCATGACGCAATGCAGTTAAATGTAAGGTCAGGTGTGAAAAATATAAAGTCGATTTGGGTCCCTGCTGTAAAAATATTAATGACGCTATGCGTAGACATTTTAGGTCAGCTGTTAAAAATATCTGAATTTGTCAATCAGAAAGAGTAGACTATATTTAAAAAATGAAATTGAGTTTATTTGATTATATTACCATAATGATAACTGTTTGTGGTTTATTACAAGATGGTCAATTATTTTATTTCCAAGATGGTCAATTATTTTATTTCCAAGATGGTCAATTATTTTATTTACAAGATCGTCAATTATTTTATTTACAAGATCGTCAATTATTTGACAAGAATTGTCAATTATTTTCTTTACAATACAGAATTTAATTCAAGATGGCTACTCGTTTAATTTACAATACGGTATTTAGTTCAACATGATTTCTCGTATTATTTACAATACAGAATTTATTTCAAGTTGGCCACTTGTATTATTTAAAATACATAATTTATTTTTAAGGTGGTTTCTCGGGTTATTTACACACAGAATTTTATTTATTCAATAGGCATGTATTGGTGTGTCCAATACAATTATTCATGAATTCGGTTAGATTAGGAACACAGTTCCTTAAGAGTCATGTGAGTTTATAAATAATATTGGTTCTATGCAATTTGTATCTTACACACACACTATTGATTTACATACACATATATATATATATATATGTGTGTGTGTGTGTGTGTGTGTGTGTGTGTGTGTGTGTGTGTGTGTGTGTTAGCGATAACACCTTCAAGTAACGCCTGCTTAACCATTAGGGTACGATGCAGCAAAACAAGACTCAGTTAGTATAACTGGTATGTTTAGTAGTAGGCGTTCGTTTTCGAAATAATTAAATTGATGTCCACCGGCCAAGTCAACGGAAAGTCTTTTTAAAGAAAGTATACCACACGACGATGGTGGGATTTGTGCTCCTGAACATGGGGAAAAAAACGACTTTTATGTTCGGCGTGCTTTAACCACTCTGTTGCGAGAGACATCGCAGCAAATCAAGACTTAATTAACTTACGAAAATATCTTGTTGGGACCTTTTGGAGTATATCTGAATATCCCTCAGTCTTCACTTTTCAGGTTTAAATCCGAAAGCGTCTACGAGGCGTTGTGGGTGATGAATTATTTTCCACTCTACAACCTCTTTCCTAGAGAAACGTTGTAAGCCTCTCACTGCTATTTTCATGTAAGATGTTTAAATGAGCTACATTCTTTAGTTCCACAAACTGGCCGGCCACGCCGCGGACACTGAGGCGAACCACCCGCATTGCTTTCGTATTCCAACAGTAAAAAATAAGTTTCACTCAAACAACTTCTTCCCACGAACTGCTACTTAATGGAAATGGCCCACAAGAGTCTCTTTCTTATTACACATCTCTTACCGCTCACACAACAAGCACGTTCAGTAATTCTTTACCTTGAGCTGATCTTGGGTGAGCATTAGTTTAAAAAAAAGACATATATCTCAATATCAGTTAATTCCCTTTAGTTACTCAGTTTATAAGTCCCCAAAATTCACTCACAAGGCCACATGGCCAGTGGATAAAAGCGTTGTAATCCAAAAAGTGATTTGACCCAAAGAGTTGTAAGAGAAAACAAAAACATGAGGGAATTAACTGATGCTGAGATATCCAAAAATAAAAAGGCATGGCACGTGGAATTAGAACAATCTACCACCCATCCGTGGACTAAATAATGAAATGATTCGAAATTCCAACGTATACCACCTGACGAAAATCGGAGTGTACAGCGGTCGAAATGTCGCAAATATGGCAATAAAGAGGAGTTCAAACGATGTAAATTGTGTAAATAGTTACAATACCTCATCTCAGACAGATATTAATCATTAATATTTCCAAAAATGGTCTTAATGCGAAGAGAAGTGAATATTTCCATTATGCTAAATAATAACGCCAATTTTTTGCTCTTTTTTTCTTTTTAATATGCTTAGGATTTCTTACTCTTGAGCATGCAACATACAACCGGCCATAAATATTTTTCTGGAACCGAATTTCAACTTTTTGAAGCATTTTGCCATGTGATTTGTTTATAGTTCTCACAAACGCAGTGTGAACTGGATACTGGATTCCTGTATATAAAAACTTAAAGAAAAGATATACAAAAAATAATATTGCATTTTTATTAAATAAGTATTTCTTATGTTATTCATTAAATTGTTTTTAAAATAGTGGAAGTATTTTGTATTTTTAATGATAAAACTTTTAATTTTTACAAAAGAATTTATAAAAAAATATATCATACTAAGCTACGCAGCCTATTAAAACCAACTGTACTTTGTCCCTCCTTACCTGTATGTAATTCACCACAAAATTTGATTTCGATCGATCAATGTATGGCTATTTTAGAGTGTGTGACGGACTAACAGAAGTCAAAGAATTTTATATATAAACATTAATTAGACTTTCCTTTACTCTCGACTTGTCAAAATTTAAAAATATTGAAATTTTTATCATTTTAGAAGGCGGGCTCTACTCATAATATAAATACAGTCCCAAATTGATCTCTGATTTCATAAAGAGTTATCTGTACTTTTTTTATTTACAAATATCAAGTTTGAAACTGTGTCTACGTCACTGATAACTGCGTACTGCTGATGTTTTCCTTTGTTTCGATTCATAATAGTATGCAGCTATCAATGACGTAATGATTAAAAGTGTATGTTTTGTCGTGGGAAGAAATAGTGAAATAACACGCACTCACTAACCTTCGCCGTTTCATTTTCTGTTTGCAGCTTTACAGCATGAGAGTGGCCGTTATAGAAAATGGGGCCGCAAATTACTTTCTCAGCAAGATAAACCCTCGTCTTTTTGATAATCAACTATTTTTGCGGTCAACAGAGGAAGCCCTAGAGAAACTTAAGTAAGTGATATCTTTCACTATTCATCTTCTGTCTATCAGTTCGTCGTTCGGCTGACCAGAGTCGATCAATAACTCCGCAACGAGACAGCCAGATTTTGACAAGAAGTTTTTCACTGTATAGTGTTCCATCCATGCAATTGATATTTAACACTGAATTAAATTAGAGGAGGCGAATAGCTTAAGGACCACATCACGTTGACACTCCGGTTCCCATACGATCATTGACGTTAAGCAACGTCGAGCCTAGCCAGTACCTAGATGAGGGACCGTTTGGAAATACCAGATGTTGTAAGCTTGGGTGTACGGGTGGTGTAATGGAAAATTACTCGAAATTGTTAATCGTGGTACCGAGTTCCAATTCGAGTTCGTTATATTAACTTACGTGGGAATACCTTTGAGAAAGTTATGAATCTACCTCTTCTCCCCCAGCTATGGGTTAATTAGTAACATTATTATTGTAATGGAATGTCCCACTCTCCCTATTGCCTTTGTGAACTGACTATAGCATTAGATATATATAGTATGCACTGGACATACCTGGCGGACTTGCTTCGGAATTTACTAGCCTGCTAACCGATTCCCTGTCTTTTAGTAGTGTATTCTCTTTTATTTCTCTTTCTTTCATCTACGCCCGTTTTTTCTATTCCTTTCACTCAAGTACCACCTTTGTCTGTTTGTAACCTTCTTTAAGGATATGACAGTGGCGACGAGGATTCGATTCAAACTCACGGCGGGAAAAACCCCAAAACATACAAACAAAACATATAAACGTTATTATTTCCAAAAAAATAAAATAAAAATTGCGTACAAAATATTTAGATTTCGGCATTTAAAAAAACTCATAGAGGTTGATATGTCGCTGTATAAAACAACCAATCAACTAAAGGAGAATTATGTTGAACGTAAAATTTACAATACTAAATATAAATGCTTTTTTTTCATCGACAAGCTACTGGTTTGCTGATCTACCTAAAAATACATTATTTGACAGCGCATTAGACGAATGGTTTACAAGTATATTTGGAGGACTACTACTCGCTGCAAATCATGCACACTCATTGGCTATTCATTTTCATGGATTTGCAGGTGGTGTTATTTATAACGGATCGGAATGAAAACTCGGAGAGCAGAGTTTGTATTCCAGTTGGATTCCCTATACTCACTTATGTGTAAATACTCTTGGCAAAGGTAGGAATCTATATCCTTTGCCTAGCTATGGGCTAAATAGTAGGACTTGTATCTGGAAAAATCATTCCCAAAAAATTGTTAATGCAATATTCACTCGCCAGAAAGAATTCTTACAATCCAATATACGTTTCGACTTTTAAAAATTCACAAAGCGTTGATAATACTCCGTAAAAAAAAATAAAGCATTTTGTTTAACTTCTTTCTAATACCAATATATAGAATAGAGAGTTATTATAGGTATTTTAACAGATAAAATCTGAGTAATTCATGGATAGCGGACCTCAACATGTTGCGTTTGGTATCATGGAATTGGTCATACGTATCTCATTGTTCATCACTTGCTGGATTATTCTTGTCGTTTTTAAGAGGTTTTCTTTCTGCAATAGTTCCACTGAGCAGTCAGTGACATTTTTTCTCCACATCTCCATTCTGTCAGTCACCGTATCAAATGCAACAACGGTAACTGGTATGTTTATGACCTCCTTTAACTTCCAAAGCCTTGCGAATTCAATGATTCATAATTGGTTACTTCCTTTTTCTCTATCTTTGTCTAAAAAGGACATGTTAGATTATTTATTAACTTTTTCTATTTAACCATTCACCAGTTCTATTTTTTTTCTGCTTATTTTTAATCATTTCAACGTAAGCAAGGCAATAAAGTCACTAAGACACAAGATGTCACTGAGTGTTATAGAATATGTAAAAAAAAAAAACAAGTCTATTAAGGAGAGAGAATAAAAGAACAGGAATTAATTATTTGGGGATAAAAATTGACTCAGAATTAAGAACCAGAAGAGAGTTCTACAAGCGAGAAACCGTTAGAATAGAAATTACGGTTACATCCAACCATTTCCATTGTAAAAATAATGAGACCTTTTCATCAATCTAGTACTGCGCTTAAATTCCTAAAGTCTTGAGGAAATTTCACCAAAACAATTTTGTACTAAAAAATCCTACAAAATATTACTTGTTTCTGAGTCAAGGATTTTCTCGTATTTAGAAGTGTACCATTACTTTCCTCGTGTTTATGACTTTCTCATTAATTTTCTCGTGTTTATGGATGTACCATTAATTTTCTCGCGTTTAGGAGTGTACCATTAATTTTCTTGCGTACATGAATGTACCATTTTCTCGTGTTAATAGGTGTACCATTAATTTTCTCGTATTGATGAGTGTACCGTTAATTTTCTCACGTTTATGAGTGTAGCATTAATTTTCTCATGTTTATGAGTGTACCGTTAATTTTCTCATGTTTATGAGTGTAGCATTAATTTTCTCATGTTTATTAGTGTACCGTTAATTTCCTCACGTTTATGAGTGTACCGTTAATTTTCTCATGTTTATGAGTGTACCGTTAATTTTCTCATGTTTATGAGTGTACTGTTAATTTTCTCGCGTTTATGAGTGTAGCATTAAGTTTCTCATGTTTATGAGTGTACCGTTTTCTCATGTTTATGAGTGTACCGTTAATTTTCTCATGTTTATGAGTGTAGCATTAATTTTCTCACGTTTATGAGTGTAGCATTAATTTTCTAATGTTTATGAGTGTAGCATTAATTTTCTCATGTTTATGAGTGTACCGTTAATTTTCTCATGTTTATGGGTGTACCATTAATTTTCTCGCTAAGAACCCAACTACTCACACAACATCCAGTGAATGATTTTGGCAATTTCTCATTATTCATATTATTATTAAGTTGGAGAGCAGTCTGCTAACAAAGTGAAAGAGCAGCGCACCTGCAAAGTGACACTTATGTACAATTATACGAAGCCTAATATACCCAGCATGACTCTCAATCTGATGACGGTATACCAGGCACGTGCATCACATGCTAAATGTGCCTGATATGATGAGAGTTTTTGGTAAGTGCTGCGCATAACATTGCAGGTGAGGCCCAGTTAGAAATGCCTTCAGGTTGAATAAACCAGTTTGCTGAGATGGTTGGTTGATTGGTCGATTTTGTTTAGCGGCATATCAACACCTCTATGGGTTATTCAATCCCGAGATCTAAATATTTTGAATAATTTTTTTTTTGTTTCAATTAAATGTATTTGGAAAGCCATTGTTTGCCTTCAACTACAGATGAAATGAATAGATAGATAGATAGATAGATAGATAGATAGATAGATAGATAGATAGATAGATAGATAGATAAATAGATAGATAGATAGATAGATATGACCAGACTGACATTAGATACATAGATAAATATGAACAGATAGATAGATAGATAGATAGATAGATAGATAGATAGATAGATAGATAGATAGATATGAACGGATTGAGAATAGATACACGGTATGATAGGTAAATTGTTGCTCTGCACTCTCCTCAGATTGACACACAAAGACTCTGAAATGTTCGTATCGGATCTTTCATGGAAAATCCAATACCAGTCAAGCAGGCAGTACAGCATATCGTTTCCAAAGTTCTGTCGGGCTGAATTACGTTATGGTGCTCTTTTTCTCACAGATGGTGTCCAACTGACTCAGATATACTCTGCAGTCGACAAAATAAAAAAGAACTAACGCGCATGCGTGAAATTAAAATATAAAATGGTGATAATTTACCCATATATATATATATATATGTGTGTGTGTGTGCTTATATATATATATATATATATATAATAATCTTATAAATATATGTAATTATCCTCGGCCAGCTTTCCCTGACGATGCGCGTAGATGAAACCTAGGTAGGTTTGCCTAGCATTTTAGGTTCATAGTTATATATATATATATATATATATATATATATATATATATATATATATATATATATGTTTTTCGTGGTACAGGATTTAATAATAGATAGGAAAAGACAATATTTATAAGGCATTTTTAAAAGCAAAAGCTAAAATAAAAAATAAAAATAAAAGCAACCGTTTTTTTTTTGTTTTTTTTTCCCCCATTCGATTACATTCTTTAGTTAAAAATTAATTTACATGCTTTTTAAATTCCCAGAATAAATAAACTTGATAAGTCCTGGGACGAAACCGGTTGTTTTTATTTTAGCTTTTGCTTTTAAAAATGCCTTATAAATATTGTCTTTTCCTATCTATTATTTATATATATATATATATATATATATATATATATATATATATATATAGAGAGAGAGAGAGAGAGAGAGAGAGAGAGATAGATAGATATAAGCATTACTCTTCAAGTACAATTGAATTGAGTTCTATGAGCCACACTGAAGAGCTGTGATACAGCGAAGCAGTCTGTCTGAGGATGACTATATATATATATATATATATATATATATATATATATATATATATATATATATACATGCACAGAGGAAAATCTCAATTATGCTTATCAAAATAAGTTAAAGATTAAATCTTTGTGGTATGAACGAAGGCGATATGTTATGCTAGAAAATGTTTCTCATTGAACTAAGATGTTCAGATTTTATAGCCTCAATACCTTCCGCTTACCTATATAAATATCTATTGCCGACAGAGAAAGGAAAAGCTATAAAAGTAATTCAAAGCTCGACGAGTGGACGTTTCATCTACATTAATCTGTCATTTTCAACTCTAACAGTAAATTAAATCTCATTATATCATGTGCTATTTCTTGGGTTTCCTGTGTTAAGTAATATTTACACCAGACCTCACGACTGCTACATCATCAGATGAAGTGATTGCTCGAACCACGGTCCCTGTTTTGCATTAACTAATTTATAAGTGCCCATAATGAGGAAAGAGATCTTAGAAATATGATACTCACAGGATAGATTGAAGGCAAGAGAAACAGAGAAAAATAAATCGTAACCTACTTAATGAGCTATTTGTTTGTTTAGTGGCATATCAACTCCTTATGGGTCATTTAATGCTGAAATTTAATTTTTTTTGTGAACATTAGTAATTTCATTTACAAAAATATATTGATGGTATTTTTTTTATACAAAAATGTATTTCTGGTAATTTTTTAACTATGAATATGTATTGCTGGTATTTTTGCTATAAAAATATATTTTTATGCTTTCATAGTGATTAGACCCCAGTTTGGGGGTTAACTATTTGCCCAGAGTTGTGACCCTAACAGGTGCTACCACCACAGGAACTTAGGGAGCTTGAGTAAATGGATG